AAAAAAAATGGTAGCATGATACGCTACCCATCTCTGAGGAAATTTGAGTGCACTGAATTGAGCCCATATGCCGTGATCTTGTGCAGCACACTAAAGATACAAAACGCAGTGATAAAAAGAGTTAATGCATGTGAGACTGAAAAGGCGCAAACCAAGATTTTGCTTTCTTATTACCGATAAAACACTTGCAAGTATGCTTAATTTTAAGAAATTCCTGGAAGCTTAAATGCTTAACTCAGGCTTGAACAAGTCTGCAATTATTAAAATCACGTAACTTCTGCAATACAAGCTTTGATATTTTCGAGCAAAAAGCTAGGCGACAAATGTCGAAAAGCACTTGCAAGTCCTTTGTACTTCATTTCTTTTTTAGGCATGCAAAGAAAATCTACCCTTATTTGTTATGCAAAAAGCGTTGCGGAAAATGGGCTCTCTTCGTTATTGCAGGTCACATTGATAGATCATCCAGAAGAGTGCAAAATATGATCTATGCATAAATGTATGATTTTGTCGCAGAATCCTTTTGAGTTACTCGTCTCCGCGCAACTTCAAAATGCAACTAGCTTTGCACTGATACATTATGAAACAAGTGGATACATCATTTCTTAACAACATCAGAAACTTCCAACATTCCGATATGTCTTAAAAAGTTCGCTTTCTGGCATTGTAACAACATTTAGCATTGAATATATTGTAAAAACTCTGAAAAGCGCGCTGTGACACGAGAAAGCAGTAAAAATCTGCAGTATACTTAGTGCATTAATAGAAATATGTGGATCAAAAGAATAAGACAAATCAAAACCAAACAAAAAAGTATGCTCTTTGAAGTTGCATAAATGAAGGAAGATTGATTGGATTAGAGAAAGCTATAGACCGAATAGATTATAAAATTAGATGGTACCGTTAGATGACCATCCACGAGCTCAAGGTCCCTGTGAGAGCAGCAGGTTGGCCATATCATTTTCAATATCCTGACTGAACGCCATATGTCGGTAGTCATCCTGCTGGGAAACCGCTGTCACCGGTCGCTGTGATTGCATTGAGATTGATGGCACATTCTGAGATTGTGACTGCGTCCAACCAGATATGGACACATCTCCATAAGCATCAACACCGACCAAAGGATCTTGAGAAGCCTGAGCACATCAAAATATAAACAAGAGCACAGCTTTGCAAGTTACAGATTACTACAAAACACAAAAAATCGAACACAAAACAAAGAATATAAAACGACAAGAGGAGGTTCACTAACTTGGGATGCATACATCCCTCCGTAGTCATTTTGCGACTGTCCCATACGAAATGAGGGACCACCCATTGCTTGAGGAGTAGGGGGCCAAGCAGGAGCATTCCGTCGCCCAGAGGGAAATCCTTGATAAAACCTATGATGCAAGAAAGTATGAGATTCATCGACTTACTTTGTTGCTGTGGTTGCTGGGGGAATGGCGGTGGAGGGAACATTTGCAACATATGCAAAGGAACAGGGAGATTTGCAGCATGACGCAGAGATTGAGCAGATATAGCAGAATGAGGATCCATTGGTGGCATTTCTCTTGCATAACCACCACGATATTCGCGCAAAGTGTATGTTGCTCGTTGAATGCCATATCGATCAGTCTATGACGAATCATTTAAAATGCATTTGGTAGTTAAAACAAGACGTGATTCAAACCTACCGGATAAGCCGGATTCGTCCGTTGTGGCTTGGGTTTTGGTAGGGTGACTTGTACTGATTTGAGATTATTGATAGGTCCTTCGACAATTACATTCTTCTGATTGAACGTTGTTAAAAGGTCATTCCACAATGGCTGCCGCGCTAATACCTGACAAAAGTTCCAAAATGTTGTAAAGTAGGTCTTAGATCACTTCTTAAACCATACATGTGCATAAAGAAGTTATTACCTTGGCATTTCCGATAATTATCAGACCATACTTTGCCCTAGTCAAAGCAACGTTCAAACGGCGCGGATCATTGAGGAAGCCAATGCCGGAGTGATCATTAGATCTTACGCATGTTACAATAATTAAGTCTTTCTCACGTCCCTGAAAATGGCTTAAAATGGGGTAGAACATGATTTGTGTGGTTAAACCCTTACTTGAAAAGCATCAACGTTAGCAATTTCCATGTTTTCATAGAGTTTGCTATTGAGAGTGCCTTGTGTGTGCATGTATTGTACTATGTATGAACGTTGTCCTTCATAGGGGGTTATAATTCCAATTTGCTCAGGGCGCATACCTCCCCTAAAAAAATTGTAATTCGAAAGATTGCTATCGGAAAAAAAACACAATAGCAAACCTTATCAATTTACTAGCAAGTTTCTCGACATTCGCCGCTTCAGTTCTGTTTAGAAATGAAGTTCCACTAGCACTCATTTCTTCCTGACCATAGCATGACCAGAAAATCATTGGTCGCCCAGGAACTGGCCATTCCCAATCTACACCACGGAGTTGACGTTCGGCTTAAGTATAACGTTGCAGAAATGCCGAATTATCACAAGTCTCGATTTAACTGACTGACTTTGAGTAACCCCATTTTGGAGACTGCCTTCATAGAACACATTACTCGGGAAAGATGACAGCTCAGGATGCATACGATATTGCACCTAAAGATGGAACACAGTAGTTAGCGCAGAACAGCCAACAGTATCAAAAATTACTTGAAGGCGAATAGGTCGATTTCCAAGCAGAACTAAACGCTCAAACAGTGACTGAGATAATCCGGCCTTTGAAGCCTGAATAAGTCAAAATGGAAAAAGTTTTAAAAATAAGATCAATCCCTATGGCAGAAAAAAACATACCTTCTTACAAAGGATAACTGGCCCCAGCTGGCAATGATCCCCGACTAGAATTAGCTGTCGCACACCACGAACAATCGAAACAAGGACCTCGGGTTCTGTTGCTTGTGTAGACTCATCTACCAATACACACCTAAAAAATTCATTACTCGTAGCCTTCCTACATAGTGAGGAGAGGACTGTACTTGATTTTTATCCTAGATAAACGTGCATCGGCAGCTGACGAACATGTGCAACAGATAACATCCGCAGCTGCAAGTAATTTATGTTCGCTCATTTTCTTAAGGTTTATATAGCGCTCCTGGTCAGCCGCAGACAACTCTCCAATTTCTTCCTAAACAAAGACATTCTTATGAAGTTTTTTATTGCTAAAAAAGAAATTCTCAACACCTTCAGCTGCTGCAGCTTCTGCAGTTCTGCAGATTCTTTCAAAGCTTTCAGCTGAGCATGAAGGGCTAGAAATTCAACATTTGTGTCCAGAGCTTCTCTTGATTTCGCATATAGCCGCACTACCTGAAAGGATGAATGTGTGCGAATGGATGAGATAAAAAA